CAGGCTTGATCGACCCCGAATTTGTCGATATCAAGACCGGGGCAATGCTGGCTGCAACTCAAACCCTGAAGCCCCCTGGTTCGGAGAAACCCAAACTTCCTCCATCAAAGACTTCCTTGCTTCGTCGACACAAGGTTGTCTCCAAGGTTCGCCACGTGTTCGAATCCATCCTGCCTAAGCCTGCAACGCCAGAATCGAAGATCAGGGGCAAGATCTCAGCGCCCATCGGTTTGACCACGTGCGATCTGCCCAACCCTGCGGCGTACTATCACCTCGAGGAAGTCGAACTCGAAGAGACATCTATCGTCAGCTCAATCGAGCTTCGTCTCAATGAAGGCAACAACCTGCATAGCCACAAGGTTCAGAGCATCGTCGGAGATCGCATCGTTCGTAAGGCCGTGGCTGATGATGAAAGCTCGGTTGGCGGCAGCGATTCACCAGAAGATCCCTTCTCGGGAGAGTTTGAAGTCGCAAATCGTCCCCCCACTCCTTTTGAGCATCGCCTCAAGAGTAGCCTTGACTCCACTGGTATCCCTCCGGTTCCTTCTTTGAACCCTTTCGATACTGAGAAGGACTTCGATGCCGACCTTGAAGGAATCTTGTCTGAGAAGCCCGTCTGTGCTTCAACCCCGCGTCGACCCGACCGGAAGGCAGCCTCCGGAGAGAGCCCCTCTAAGCGGTATGCAAAGGCTGACGACCGCCATCTTGCGTCCATCAACGACACTGAGGGAGGCCCTAGTGCTCCCAGCCCGACTCCAAAAAAGTTGAGGCTGTCGGGCGGCTGGAGACTCTTCCGCGATCAGCCTGAGCCCAGCACCAAAAAACACCCATCGCCCAGCAAGCAGGATCTTGAAGTCCTCGAAGATCGACTCCGCGACATGGTCATCGAGAAAATGGAGCAGGAGCCTGAACAGCGGCCAGAGTTGGAGGCCAAGTGGGAAGGCGTCCTCGCACCGGCTGCTCTGGGCCCCAAGGATGCGAATGCTGCGTTGATGTTGAGTGAGGGCAAGCAGCCTGTCGCAAAGCCTACTGTCGTTATCGGAGAGGCTAGCGCTGTCTCGCTGCGTCGATACAATCGCGAAGAGTTCACCCGTATCACGACGGCTGGTTCCCGGATCCCTCGTCCTTCTCCTCGGTACACCCCCTACACTCGACCTTCGAACTTCGATGCGCTGGATATTGACGAGTTGCAGTAGGATGTGACCGTCTATGCTCCGAGGCGTCGTCGTTTCTAGGGCTCGGTCGCGAAATTTTGATGCGTCTGAAAAAATTGGATCATCTTTGGCGGTACCACTCTATTCTATCGGTTCTTTGCCTGCGGTGGTTCTGGGCAGTTCGACCAAGGACCATCAACGGAAAAGCTCTGGTATCGTTGCTGCCTTCTACAAGCTTCCACAGCTGGCTTCAACAATTTGGAGACAGCCCGCCCGCGTTCTATTCTGGAATTTGGAAGCGCCAATTCGGCAAACCTGTTGAGTATTTCCGCGGCCAAACATTGAGATGGTACAATCAAGTCACCTGCATTCTTCGATTGGCCCGCCCCAAATTTGTGTAAGTTGTTGCCGTCTCCTAAAATTCATCAGCTAATGTGTCACAGGAGAATACATCCAATTTCGACTTGGACTGCTTTTCGGATCCGGCTGCACTTTTTCTCCTTTTTCATGAGACTCGAAGAAATCATCAGGTCTCCAGTACTCACAAGCACCATTGGGCAACCTTAATACAAGTCCTACTGCCTTCTTACTAGGCCTAGGCAACCGGTTGCTGTGCGAATTTGAGTGTCAACAATTCGTGGACCGCTTTTCCTACGCGACAGGACAACAGAACAACTCTTCTCTTTCAGACTGTGCCACTTTGTGACCCTACCCGACCCTGGGAGAATCTGCATAAACTGAACCCCAGTAAACCGCAATCAGATTCTCCCATTTGCCGAATTGCATACAAGATGCCACCATGGAGGACGGATGTCACAGTGGGAGGATGATGAATGGTGTGATTGGACGCTAAGGGGGGGAAGCTCAGATAGGTAGTCACAATTCAAATCGTTTTAAGATAACTAGGAAACGTGTCACAGTCTTCTCAATATCAAATGTGCAAGGTAATTTACTTTACTTTGTTTATTTCATATCGTAACACAGACATGGTATCTATAAACCAAATCGCTCTCAACAGTACTAATACAGTAGGTATCCAAAATCCATCATAATCCATACACATAAGAGACTCGCTTGTTGGTATCTATCGATTGATAGGGGGTATTTTTCATATGCTACTGCGCACACACTTAGTAGCGGTGGGCGCGGTGCGAGCCACGACCGTCAGTGCCGTGCATGCGGCGGGTACCAGCGGCCTTTTGACCGGGGCGACGGGTCAAGGTGCCCTTGAGCTTGAGCATGGCACCGGAGATCTTGTCGCCCATGGAGGGCTTGCGGCGCTGGTGGTGGACGGGGGCCGTGTGGGCGACGGGGCCGCGGCGGCGGGAGAAGAGGCCGCCGCCGGAACCGCGCTTGGTGGTCCTGGTGGTCTTGGTAGTGGTGTGGTGGTGGGTTGTGTGGGCGGGCGCGCGGCGGCGGGAGAAGATGCTGCGGCGGGGGGCGGTGGTGGTTGTGTGGCGGGTGGATCTGAGAGGCATGATTGCGGTTTTTGGGAGTGAAGAATTTGTTTTTAAGTGGTTTTGGTTGTTTGGGTAATGGTGTAAGATTTGAGGTCTTGGGTTGTTTGTTTGATTGAGATTGGTTGGGTTGTTTGGTAGCTTGATGCTGATGATGAGAAGAGGGAAAGTAGATGTAAGTGGGTTTGGAGGGTGGTTTATATGTTTCCTTGGTGGTTCTATTCAGGGTCGCGGTTTTGGAGGGTGACCAGCTACGCAGCATGTCTGCTCCAAGTCAGATGGCGTATGTTGGTAAGGTTGTGTGATTTGGGCATGTCATCATCGCGGGGTGGGAGGTTCGTGAACAGAACAGGGGTGGTTGGGTCTCGCGGGATCAGGGACCCTGTGAGAGGGGATGATGTCAGGGTCCAGGGGATCTACGTTTGTATGTGTATGTGTGGTCTTCTAGTCTAAATCTCCGTGTCTTTACAATACATACTGCGCCAAAGGCGACAAGGCTATCTTCCATTCGTATGAACAGTAGGTGTGTGGCATCCTTTGGTGGGATCGATGCGCATAGGGTCCGAAACCTGCGTCCTTGGTTCCACACTTTGGACCCTATTTTCGTTTCGTGACCCTCCCTCTGACGACAAAAGGAAGATGGGCAAATGGGCATCCGTAAGGAGGGGATAGAGAAGTGGGAGGGTGTCGTCGGACCCTGATTCTGGGAAAGGGGTGACGTCCCTTGCAGTTCATTCCGTCGGGGAGGAGGGGACTGGACATGGGGTACATTCAGACATTGTTACGTAGGAGGAGCCAGGCAGGCTGTATCCGTACATGGGTGATGAAAAATGGCCAAGGCTGGCCAGAACGACAGCTTCGGGGGAGACCTCAAAGTGATTTTGCCCTCCGTTTGTTGTCGCAGCTGCGAGGTGAGGTCAAGGTGAGCGTCCAGCCCCAAGCCCATCAGCCCAAAATCAAGTTTTGGAGGGTCCTGTGGCTGGTGACGTCGAGTTGCGGTCGAGGGAAGGGAGCCCATTGGGTCCAGCCTCATACCCCTGTCTCTTGCCTGCGCCAGGGGGTAGTAGAATTGTTGATTCCGCCAATTAGAGTTGTGGCACATGCGAAGGTGTGGCTGACCCGGTAAATCAAGGTTCCTACCTTATCAAGGTACCTTATGATGTCATGCGTAACGGTTGGTTCGTACCACAGCAGATAGGTGTGACAAGTCACACCTTTACGGACGGGTCTGGACCCAAACGGTTCTCTTCAGTTTCTTGTTTTCTCCCCCAGTTAATGATCAAAACGTAGATAGACTGGGTGACTGGGACGGTCTGACCTTCCCTCTTTGTGTGTATCACACTGGCTGATCTCAAAGGTTAGTGTGTTGTTGGACGCATCGTTTGTTGGTGTGAGAAAAGTCGCAATGGGGGAGGGAGTGATAGGCATGGGGGATTTGCGGCCGCTGACGACGGTTTGACTGTGTACTTCTCACACTTTCAATCATTCGACGTCAGTTTTTGCGGGTTCGAGCCTTCTCTGGCCTCTTGTTTGGCCACGGATTCGACTCCCCCGAGCGAGGTCAAGAGAATCCTCTCGGGTCTGGGATGAGGTGGAACGGAACATCACTGAGGGGAAATGACATAGCTGGTGGTCTTGGAACGGTGATCCCCTTGATGGTGCAATTTGTCCGGTCGTCAGACGCACGGCTCCTTCTCGCTCATGTGTCGGATTTTCTAGGCCAAGGAAGATAATGATGTTGGGGAAGTAGAGAGCAAATGCTTGAAGCGCGGAAAGCGATGCTGTCAAGGCGCCCACGGTGCCGCCGTCCCCAAACCTTGTCCAGGTCTTCCTGCCACTTTGCGTATACAGAGATTTGTTGCCATCATTTTCGGGAAATCTTATCCTCATCAACGCTCCTGTCCATCTGTCTGCAACGTCTACAGCCAAGTAGTATATGGCTTGGCAGAGTTGGCTCCTACCACCGCAGCGAGGACCGCAGTGAGCGCGGTGAAAAAGAGCGACTCCGTGCTGGGCCTTCCTCGTTCGTATGGGATTGTTATGCAGGCTATTCTCCTGATATGGCCATGGGTGGAGGTAAGATGTGGGCTAGCAGATTACGGTGGTATGGTTTCCGCCAGTTTGAGACACCCTTCATACCCTTCACACTTCCATTTGCAATGATGAGAGGGGTTGGTTCAGTGGAACTGCGGCTTACTTCCTGCGCGAGGGAGAATGACCCAGCGCGGCAGTATTGCTTTCCTTACATCGAGGACATCACCATCGAGGTAGCTCACCGCGCCACTGAACCTTCTGAGAGATTGACTGTATTCTTGGTGCCTTGAAAAACCTTGAACAGCACATGGTTGCCATAGGCTCCGACCATCAATACAGTCCAAGATTACGCCGTCTAGTCTCCGCGCCCAGAAAGGTTATCCTTGATCCTAGCCAAATCGTCGCTCGAAAACCCCAAAGCCCCAACGACGTACCCCTCCCAGCCGCCATGCGCTTCCTGCAATGCCGCGATAAACGCATCCCAGCACGACGTCCGCAGGCTGCACAGGTTGTAGAAGCCTGGGTGCTGTTCGAAAGTGAGACTACCGCCGCCGGCACGGGCCTGCTGGAGGAGCCGCTCCCTCGCTGGCTCGGTGCCGACGCGCGAGAGCATGTAGTCGAAGCGGACGTCTTCGGGCGCGGTGCCCGCGAGAGATTGTAGGAGACCTGCCATCACGCCGGTGCGGTCTCTTCCGGCTATAAGGGGGTTTTCCTATTAGTTGGGCTTGGCTGGCGGCCACGCGCCGCAACAGTATTTGGCCTTCTCTCCATTAGAATGTCCAGGAAAGGTATACATACCGGTACAGTGAAAGAGAAAAGATTCCTCGGGCTTGTCGCGCACGTGCTCCAATATGGCTCGGTAGATCGGCCGGTATAAATCAAGGACCTTGAGATACTCCTTCCGAAGTCCAACTTCGCCCCCGGCCTCGACAAAATCATTCAGGTCAGGCGGGGTCTGGGCGCCCGCACTTTCGAGCCATGTGTTTGCAACTCCTGCGATCTCTGGATCAGGATGCTTCCCGCGTTCCGCAGAGCTACGAACGTCAAAAACCTGCTTCACGTTGGCGGCCAGCCAATCGAGCGCCTCTGGGTTCTGGTTGGCGACTTCGAGCATGCCGCAGCGGTAGACGAGACCTGGACGGACGCAGGAGCCGGGCACGGCACCAAGGTCGCGGATGTTGATGAGCTCGGGGACAGGGAGGAAGGGTGGCGTGCTCAAAGCCTGCTGCAAGAGTTCGGAGGGGATTGGGTCGTGTACGTCTCGCTCTGTGAGAGCTTCTAGCTGGTCTCGGGTCATGGACATTTTGGCGATGAACGAGCTTTTTTATTCTTAAGTTGGAAGAGAAATGAGGATACTGGCAGTATCAAGATAGGATATCTCAAAGGAGGAGGAGAAGACTATCTTTGAGTCGACTGTCTGTTGTTGGCGGTGAGGCAGACGGCAGCCTGGGGCAGGCAACATCTGCGCCCTTCAATAATTGAACGGAGGTTGTTGGAGTAGACGTTTTGGAGTTGTAAGCAGTCCTGTGTAAGACGCGGACAAATGTAGCCCGCCCCCGTTGAAACAAGCTTCTTGAAGCTTTCTGGTGACAGGAGCTAGTGTTCATTCCACGAGACCGTCATGTGGCGCCAAGCCCCGAATATTGAGGTCTAACTATTGATATTACCGTTTGCGGACTCTGCACATAATGACAACGCCTCAACGTTCTGTGTGGCGGCAGTTTGCAGCAACGGGGATCTTGTAAGGGGCATATTAAGCCGTTTGCCCGCAGATGCACTTAAATTCCCGTGGCCAGATTCCTCCCTCAAATCGTGGTGCATAAATGGCATGTCTTTTGCCATGAAAGATGTTGGACATTCAAGGACACTGGGTGATGAAGTTAAGGATACTGGTTTAAAGAAGTATCCCTGAAGCTCTCATCCCTGCTTCCCCATGCCTGATAAGATAACATCTCCTTATCAAAGATGGCGATAAGGATATCGACTTTCCACACCGAATTTCAGGACGTTGTCTTCCAACAAAGCAAGCCATTTGACTCAAATTGAGACACTAATTACCTCGATGAGTGGCTAGAATTTCAGCATCATGTCCTCGAATCCGATTTTGAGGTGGGGACTGGGCCTCTCAGCCGCCGCGGCCGTGGTCGCAATCGCCGTCGTGCGCCTCCAGCAGCCCCTCTTAGGCGACATCGATGACACCCAAACGTACTGCTACCAAGGCATCCGTACGCACGACGAAGACCAGCCGTCAGCCCAATGCTTCACTGTGGCCGACGGCAAATTCACCCGTGTGTTCCCATGGGATGATGCAAGCTTGACCACCACGGCTGGCTTCGTCATCCCTGGTCTGTGGGATGGCCACGGTCACCTGAGTCAGTATGGCGAATTTCTCTACTCGGCCGATCTGTTCGGAGCCTCTTCTTTGGATGATGTTCGGGATCGCTTGAGGGACTACGTCGACAGCCATCCCGATGCCGGCACCAAGAATGAATGGATTCGAGGGATTGGCTGGGATCAGTCGGCGTACGGACGAATGCCGACCGCTGTGAGTCCTCTTCACCCCTCTCTGCCCAGTGATGGGTCTAATTCCCGATCAGAAAGACATTGAGGAAGATGAGCTTCTGAAGGGCAAATACTTCATGCTCGACCGGATAGATGTCCACTGTTCATGGGTGTCACAAGCTGTGCTCGATCTGTTGCCTGCAGATCTCCCAGACGTGCCTGGCGGTGAGATCGTCCGCGAGCCAGGCATGGGCGTCTTTTGTGACAACGCCATGGACCTGATCTACAACTTGTGGCCGAAGCCTGGACCCGAGAAGAAGCGGGCATTCATTGCAGCCGCCATGGCCAAGTTGAACGAGGTCGGTCTGGTTGGTATGCATGATGCCGGCGTCTTTCCGCAAGAGCTCGACCTGTACGCCGATATGGCAGGCACGGACGACTGGACTGTCCGCGTGTATGCCATGTTGGAATGTGCTCAGCGAAATACCTTCTGTCCCGAGGACGCTGCTCGGGTGTTCCGTGAGGAGGACTCGTTCAGCGTCAAATCCGTCAAGCTTTTTGCAGGTATGTTTTCTGAAATGTTTGACATGAAAAGGCCCACTGAGACTAACGTTTTCTAGACGGCGCTCTTGGAAGTTGGGGAAGTGCCATGATCGAGCCATACAGTGATCGTCCCGATACCGCCGGCTCTCTTCTTGTCAACGGGTCGACTTTGAAACAGCTTGGACGGTCCTGGGCATCCGTCGGATACCAGGTCAACATCCATGCCATCGGTGACCTGGCAAACCGCTACGCCGTCGACGCCCTCGAAGCTGGCCTGCGAGATGTATGCCCCGATGAGAACCTCGCAGATTGCCAGGCTCGACGACGATTCCGCATCGAGCATTCGCAAATCATCCACGAGGATGACCAGAAGAGGATCCATGACATCGGTATTATACCATCCATCCAACCGACGCATGCGACATCCGATATGAAGTACGCCGAACTACGACTTGGGGCAGAGCGCACCAAAAAAGAAGCGTACCGGATGCGGTCACTCCTGGACGTTCACCCGATCCTAGGCAGCGACTTCCCCGTCGAGCCGCCCAATCCCTTCCAGGGTATCTATGCTGCCGTCGCCCGCAAGAGCCCCCATACGGGTTACGGCGTCAACGGAAGCGAAGATGGCTGGCATACCGAGGAGGCTTTAAGTCTCGACGAGGCGCTGCTAGGGTTCACCAAGGGCCCGGCCTACGGTGCCTTCATGGAAGGACGAGCCGGCCTCATCAAGGAGGGCGCGCTGGCTGATTGGGTCGTGCTGGACCAGCCTCTGGAGGACTTGGACCTTGACGAGCTGCGGGAGCTTAAAGTCAAGGAGACCTGGGTGGGCGGGAAACAAGTCTACGCGCGGGACTATGAGTGACGGGCTACCAAGGTCCACGATGAAGGATTTTTAAAAAGTTCTCTTGGCTTCGTTCCATACTTACCTACTCTGACACACTCAAGACCGCTTTTATTAGGGGATTTGTCTACGCTAACGACTTTTTATGCCCAAGAGATATGATTCCATCAACACAACTGAGACCGACCTGTGCTGTTTTCTCATTACATTCGCTTTGATCGTATGGATGACTCTGGCTGGCCTAGTCGAAAGATAAAAAGGTAGCCAGAGGCATTCGAGACGAAGTTTTCTAGGTTGGTACCCATCTTATCCACCGCCCATCTCACACTCCAGTACTATATGGACAACGAGGCGCACGTATGACTTGACAAAATCATACACCCTCCTATGGTTTTCCGTGGTTCTTCTTAAACCTGTTTTTCACCGGAGATTCTGAGGAAAGCTTCTTCACGGCGGAAATGGCAATTCTGCTCAGCCTCTGATATTTGCTTCTGTTATTGACTCTTCAAAGCAGGACTATCGACGATCTTCAAACATTGGTATCTAAGAGATACATTGGAGAACTCACCCCATCCACAACGAAATTACCCAAGACGGTATCGAGAAACAGCCACGATGCCGTCAACAATGCCAACCAACAGCGCGACAGCCACCCGAGCCTGGAGCATATACATAATTGTATTCCTGATGCTCATGGTCTTCTCAATGACCTTTGGCGCCTCCATGGTGCAGGTTTCCGTCCAAGCATACCTGCGAGAATCCGTCTGCCGGCAACTCTACGGCTTGCCCCAGAAAGTTCCCATCGACCACGGTCTATGTCACGCCGACGCCGTTAACAAGGAGTTCGAGTGGACCGAGGTCGTCGTCCTGGTCTGCCAGTCCGCCGGCGGCCTCCTGTCCGCCTACACCATGGGCAAATGGGCCGACGTCAATGGCCGGCGCGGGGCTTTTGTCTTGAGTGCCTGCCTCTGGGGCCTCTTCTCCGGCATCCTCATCACAACTATTCAGACTTCATCACGCGGCGTCCTGTGTTTCCTCTTCTTCGTCATCGGCGCTGGGAAGACGTCCGCCGAGGTCGCCGTCTTGACTATGACGAGCGACACCACAAACGACCAGCAGCGCTCGAAACACTTTGGCCTCGTGGTGTCTTCCGCCCTTGCCGGGCTTGTGGTCTCGAACGTCATCCACAGATATGCTCCCCCCTTGGCCCTCGAATATTCGGCTGTGATCGGCTGCGTCGCCTTCTGTGTCGGCACCTGCTTCATTGTGGCGGTTCCCGAGCCCCTACGCACGCAGCTCGAGGACTTTGGAGGCGAGCCTCCCCCGGAGATCCTCCCAGCCAACCAGGCCACCAGGCCGCTGCACCGCGTTCTCTCCGCCCTGAACACTTTCCGCGCCATGCTCCTCCTTACCACCCTCGGCCTCGTCCTCGCGTTGGCGAGGACGGCACCGCCTTCCCTCGACGTCTACTTCGTCGCCAGGTATAGCACGATCATCCACTTACCCTCCACAACGACCCTCCGCGGCGACGTCGTGAGCTACTGGGCACCGCTCATCGCCATCGTCCTCATCACCTGCCTCCTTCTCCCCTCCATCTACGGCTGCTGCTCCTCATACCGCCGACGTGTCCCGGGCGACCGCATCGCGCTGCGGGACTACCGCCACCTCCTGCTCTCGTCGGGCCTGGTCGTCCTCACCAGCGCCGCCGCTCTGTACAGACACTACCTCTTCTTTCTCGTCGGCACCCTCTCCGCCGCGGCCCTCGCGGCGACCATCCCGGGCCAGTGCTGCTCCCTGATGCTGTACGGGCTCGGCGTGGCCGTGCGCTCAAAGTACGCCGGCCGGCTGTTTGGCCTCGCGGCGACGGCGGAGTGCGCGGCGACGCTGGTGCTCGGCCCGGCGATCGGTCTCGTCACGCGGGACTCGCGCTGGGGCGGTCTCGCGGCAGCGATGGTCTTCTCTGCTTCGGTTGTCGTCTTTGGGGCCGTGTGGCGTGCCCAGGCGGTTTGTGAGGCTCCGACGTACGAGCGGCCCGGCGCCGGGGGCGGTGGCGTAGAGGCTGGGATCGAGCTTTTGGATGTGGGAGGACTTGCGGCGCCTCCTCCGACGTATGCTGCTCACCAGGAAGATCGCCCTGCTCCGATGCCGATACCGGTACCGATAATACGTTAGGTTCTGCCAAAGGTACGAGGAAGGATGATGTTTCGGTTCTTGATCGGTGTGGAAGATCACACTGTTGAAGGGTCCATTACGGGAAAGGATAGAATCATAAGAAAGATGTTCTTGAGGCCTGTGTTGTGTAACATTTGCAGCTGTGCTGCTTTGTGCACTTGTTGTTCGACTTCGGTACGGGAGGAGTCAAGTGTATTTGAGGTATCATGGTTATTGGGAGAGATTGCGAGAAGGCTGTTATCATTTGCGACGAATCGTGTTCATCAGCTTCAGAGTTGCGACGCGACCGACCTCTCTCAGAATGCAAAGTGGCAACGGACAGGCAACTTCTCATCGGATTGGGGCTGAAGTCATTTTGTCTTCCCGGAGAGAGAGAGCGATATTGGAGCGTACTAGTAGTATGATTGCGTATAATGGCCGATGGAATGAATGTATCATAGCCTTTCAAACGGATTCTTGAATCCCGAATTTGCCTTTCTTGTGCTTGAAAAAGTCTAAAGCCCCCCTTACGCATAACCTAAAGTTCTATAAGAGTTGGGGAAATACGCCGCTCTTGTGTTGCCTCTTACTAGAGAAGCGTTTGCATGACAGAACAGGAATTCTCTATGAAGCCTGTTACGGCCAGAAAGACGTGATGAGAAAGACTCGTCTTGTTGTCAGAAAATGTTAAACCTCAGTCTGCTCTTCAGGCTCCGCAAGCGGTTTCTGTCCGTACACAACGTCGCTGTTTGACGATCAAAATTAGCATCTCATCCTTGGGGCGACTACTGGCCTTTGGACATGCTCAAAAAGCATCCCAAAAGAAGTGCGAACTCACAATTCAACCAAAGCGCGGAAGGCGGGCGGATTGGCCTTCAACTCGTTCCTCACGCCCATGATCTCCACTTCGACTTCCTCCCTCGTCCGTCCGAGGACTTCGGTAAACATCTTCATGGAAAACCCCTCAAGACCGTCAATGGTCAGGACCAGATTCATCATGCCCAGGTCCTTGTAGTGCCGGTCCTTGGCCCACGGCGTCAGCGGCGCCTTGTACTTCTCCGCTGTGACGTTGATGAAGCCCGCCTCCCGGACGCGGCCCTCGTGCCCCGGACCGGGGGTCGGGTCGCGTCCGACGGCCCGGATGGCGCTCAGGAAGGCCTGGTTCCACTTGTACGTGGCGTGGTCCTTTGTGTAGCTACCATCCTCTGAGTAGAATTCCGGGTTCATGTCGAGGAATTCGACCCAGCCGCCCGGGTTGAGGTGGCTGAATTTTCGGGCAGTCGTCGTCAGTATCAGTAACTAGGTGCGCGTTCCTGCTTGAAAGGGGGCAGGAAATGGGGAGGTGGAGGTTTACTTGTAAATGTTGCGAACCAGCTTGGGCCAGTCCGTGATTGAGGCTGTCATGTATCGGCACATGATGAAGTCGTACTTTTTGGTCTCAACCCAGGGGCTCTCGACGTCGTCGATCTCGAACCTGACGTTAGGAGGAACCCTGCTCATTCCGTCAGCTATAATCGAACAATCAGCACCCGGAAAAAGAAAACTGACCATTGGGGCTGAATGGCGCTCAAGTCATTCCCGTAAACCTATGCCACAGCATTAGCCTTCACGATCGGTAAGGGGGACGGGCACACATCGTAGCTTAGCTTACCTCGGCGCGTTCAAAGATGTCGCCCATTTCAACAGCCCCTGTAATGATTTTGTTCTGTCAACTCCCACCCTTTCCACATCAAGGCTATCTTTCGAATGGGTTCCCTCATACAAAGTCCAGTGCCCGTTCCAATGTCAAGGATTGATTGAATCTTTTCCCAATCGAGAGGAGCATGGAAGAGCTTGCTGCCCGTTGCCTTGACAATCATAGCATGAGCGAGATCAAGTCGATCCATCTCCTTCTAAAACGTTTTTGGACTTGTTAACCATCTGGCTTTCGACTTGATGATTAGAGACTCGTAACAAACCTCGTCATTGGGGAACTTGTAAGCTGAAATTGCATGTCAGATCTTGTCGAGAAGAGAGCAAAGTAGCGAGAGAAGAGGTTGAAGGACGTACTGCCCGGCCTGTAAGCGTGATACCGTCGTCCATACTCGACGGGGTAATCAACAACGCTCGATGATAGCGAGGCGGTGAAATTGGAACTGGAAGCACGAGTGCTTGGTCAGCGCCGGGCGCTCATCACTCCTTCATAGTATGGGGGCATCGTACATGCGCTCATCAATTGAGGAGGTATCGTCAGTTGTCTAGCAGTTGTCCATGTCAGCGATGCCATCATCAGCCGCTAACAAACCCGGAACAGGTCACCAACATTGTCTTCCTCCTCAGGCTCAAGAGGTGCCGTTACGTTGGGTGTTGGAGTTTGTGACGTTGTCGTCGCTGGGCTCTCGGCCTGTACAGCGGCTGGTGGCGAATCTACTGTCGTCGTCGCGCTCTCGGCCGGCACGGCGGCTGGAGGTGAACCGGCCATTCCTGTTTCCTGGTTTCTCTCCTCAGCGTACCAATTAATTCAACTTGGGGCCGAAGAAGGAAGAAGAAAAAAAGAAACTCTTGACAGAGAAACAGAAAGAGCAATGGCGATACGCAAAGCTTCAACAGCATCCACTCTCTAGGGACAGGATTGAAGGAGGGAAGGAGGGGGTTTTGTAGGCATCTAAGCCGGTCCCCATAGTTGAGCGACATGGGTTCGATGGAATGAGAAGGGGAAAAAAAACTGCGGCAGGCTGCAGAATCTCCAGAACCAACAGAGCACAACTAAAAGGCCCAATTGGCTGCGCTCCGACTCCTCATTCGCATGTATATGCAAGTCAAACGTTGGTTGACGCGTCTTGTCGTCCAACATCCGACCCATTGCATGTTTACCAACGCCCTTCCCCCCTCCACCCCCTCTCTCTTCCGCCTAGATGGGAAGGCGATTATGCCATCCTTGCGTTGACAAATGCGGGTGCTCAATCGTCAATCCCCGGCGTTGGGCATTGTTTGCTTCGCAAGTTTTTCGGCATTGACGTAGCTGCTTCTTTATCGAGTCCCTAGGGTAGTCAGACTTGGGAGGGACCCGTTGCATACTTTTGTCCCTGGTATCCTGATGTTTGAATTTGACTCCGTAATAGCCAGCGACATCCCGTCAACGAGATCCGTCGGTGCAGCGTAGACCGTAAAGTCAGTCCCGTCCACGACCCGACGAACAAGCAACACTCCAAAGATCACCTAGCTCACCGAATAGACAACCCTACCAAGCTCACAGAAACCAAATAGTCATCGCTGAAGAAGCCGCTTGCAAGGCCCTCTAGTACTCGTTTCTCATCTCTGTCCCCTTCCCTCCCATCTTCAGAGATAGACAGAACCGCAACTGCCTTACCACAGCTCACGCCGTACCTTACTATATTCACGCACAGATCCACTCAGCTATAAATCAAGACCCAGCTGCTCTGAACAGTTTTCACTTCACCTGGTGCTTCGCGAAGGTTCCAGGCGCCTGAGGAGATGTGAAGTGAAGGTACGTTGACGCGACCTATACCCCTCAAAGCTTGTGATATATAGTCAAACAGTGGCAGCGTGACTCACACCAGCAGCAGACAGCAACTCCACACACTTTTACTTCTGATTACTTTTCGTCGTCCGGCTACTGTGTCTACTTGAAGAAATACGGCCTAAGATGGGGGGAGGCTGGAAGGTAGCAAGACACTGATTTAGATATACTCGGAGGCAGAAAACTGTATCTGTGTGTTGTCCCGGCCGACCTAATTCATTGACGAGATCAATGAAGGACCAAATATCTGTATCCCACAGAATATACACAATCATGCCAAGTTGCAGAGGAGCAACTGTGTTGAGAACTGTGTATCCGATTTTATACTACCTACTTGGCTAGTCCCTCGCCGCTTGTAGGTAATCCAGTTGCGTCACTATCAACTAGCAGACTCCCAAGGGGTTATTGGTTTCCAGTAGATCATGGAAAATGAACTCACTTCTACTACGAACAGGCCCAGGTAAGTATCGTAGCATGAAAGGCTTATATCTTACTCGTGGCTCAGGGGATCCACGATACAAGCTACGATGTATTAGCATCTTGCCTTCTTCAGCTAAAAGACAGTCCTCGTCAACGAAGGGAGACATGTTACCAAGAGGCCTCTTCGTGTCCAGTTGCTCATAGTAACGGACCTCGCAGTCATGTCATTTTTCATCAACCACTAATATGGAGCTCAAAATGTATCATTCACTGGTATAAGTCACTTTATAAAGAGTAGGATCCGTAAAATAGTGGATGAATTGTCACATCTCTATTCAATGGACATATCGGTAAAGGCGTCAATGGGTTGACGTAAACCCCTATCTTCATTCCATAGCCCTTCCATAAGTAAAAGGTAAATATCCACGACGCCATTGCCTATCCATAATAATCCTGCCCATCCAACGTCGTCCCTCGGTCTGGTCCCGTAGGCCTGTTCTGACCGGGTCGTCTAACAAAAGGTAGATACGAGAAAGAAACATGGGAGATCGTCCCTGATATATAGGCAAGTAAATAGTGTAAGTAAATCGTGATCAGGGCCGACACCCATCATATGGTGGTTTTTTTTCTTTTTTCATTACTTTTCATCTTGTCTTAATCTTTCGTGGCGTGTTCATCGCCGAAGGGACTACGTCCCCTCTCGTAAGAACTTGTCCTTTGAGACCGTCTGTCGGGGCCGGCGGCGGCTCGCCTTGTTGCCTCCTCGATCACGGCACTGAGACTGTGGTTGCTACGAACAGCAGCTGGGGATGGCTCAGGAGGGTCGGAGAAGGGGCCCTGATCGACTGGCGGGCTTTCATCGATGACTGTCACGGCAGCCGGTTCGCGGGCGGCCGCGGTGGTGCTGGGTGGCAGAGGTGTGCCTGGTGCCGAGATCTCTTCTGATGTTGATGATGCCTTGGATCCAACGCTGACTTGCTTGGGGCCGTTGCCGTTGCCTACACGGACTACCTGCACTCTCTGGACGGGGGCGGCGGTGGCGGTGTTGGCATTGTTCAGGAAGGTAGATCCGACACTGAAT